ATTTTGTAATCTGAGATTTTTGTTGACCCTGAAGAAACAAGGTTTGGCGAGTAAACATTACAGATTGCGTAATTCAAAGTTGGCCGAGTGGAGATCTGTGTCTGGTCTCCGACAAAAAAAAAATAAAAAAAAATAAACCAAGGGTAGAACATGAACCGCGCTCGGCCCATGGCTGCGTGGTTAATAAGCCTAACCAAGATTGTAGAAATTGAAGGCTTTCATGCAAAAAGGGCATACATAGCATTTTGGGCCGATTTTTGTTTTTTGCCGGACCAAGCTAATTTTTGGCAGACTGACTTGTTTTGACATGAAAAGCATCATTGCATGATTGTTTTGTTGATTTGCACTTTGTTTTTGAGAAATATCGTATGGAAAAAACTCAGTTTTCCAAGGGTATCTTTGGGAGATCTTTTGTTGAGCGAAAAACAAGTTAAAGAAACCTTTTGTTTTGCTAAATGATGAAGTCACTGAAGCGTGGTATTTGCCGCTAGTTTTATTATTCATATAATTACACAATTATCTTGCTTCATTAGCACAAGTGGATAAGGTGCTGAACGGGCTGCATCCAAGTTTGTTTTGTCGTGACACATCCGGTTTGATACGAGGTCAGTCAATTTTTTTTTCCGGTCTATTTATCTACTTCTTTCAAAAATCAAAACATCTATTTGAAAAAAAATTGTGTTCTCGAAGCTGCTAAACTTAACCGTTTAAGTTCATGCTGCGTCAAAATCCACCTTCCAGGGATTTGCTCCAAAAGATGCCACTCAGAAAACTGAGTCATTTTTGCATACGTTATTTCTCAAAAACGAAGTGCAAATCAAAAAAACAATTATGCAACGATGCTTTTCACGTCAAAACAAGTCAATCTGCCCAAACTTAGCTTGATCCTGTAAAAAATAGAAATCGGCCCAAAATGCTATATATGCCCTTTTTGCACGAAAGCCTTCAATTATGTACTATGCAATATATCAGGGACTTTCCAAGAGACGATTGTGCAAGGAATATCTCAGAAGGAAAGTCAACAATGCGCCAGGGGTTAATTTGTGTTGAAATTTTGCCTTTGCAAGTACTCCCTCCTTCTCCCCCAGCGAAATAACCTGACTTGAGCAAGCGATCCAATCGGAAAACCAGTAACTAAATCAGTGGTCAACTTCAAAAAAACACCCAGCCTCAATGAGCTCTAAACCTGAGCCCACAATATGGTTACATGATACTGGTCAGCGGATAACTTGTTGTGACAGCTGTCAATTAACAATAGCATGGATGCCCAAAATCAAAGGTGTAGCTATGGTTATGATGTTACTCTCTTAGTTTTTAAGGTCTTGGCGTATGGATGTATGGATGTATGGACAGTCACATGACAACCAAAATTTTTCAGATCAATGGGCTACCAAATTTTCTAAGGTATGGGGCTCGGCTCGCACGTCTTCGGCGTGTAGGAGCTCTGCTATGACTGCAAATTGAAATATTTTGAATTTCAAATTCCGTCAGTGACTGCTGAGATTGACTGGGTTGATCACACACCTGTTTATTGCATTGACTCTTATCAGTAAGGTACAAGAGATGATCAATGGCCACAAGCAGTGTCGAGCCTCTGTCGTGAGGTATTATCACCCAGCTGCTGGGCGGGGCATCCAAACCTATTAACAGTAATAAGCTTGTTAGCACTGTCAAAAAAATTAGTAGATAATGGTGCAGGTAAACAACCTGGGTTCAAACTGTGTCTAGGGCTGCTGCTCTAAACGTAAATGATGTACAGTATGTAGTTGAGAAGGCATGAACACTGCATGCCTGTTGGGCAAGTAATATTTTATTGGGGGCAACTGACAACTGAAATGTACTGGCCCACTGGGCAACTGGATTCCAATTTTTTTCCTGCCCTGTACCTGCTTCAAATGCTTTCCAATAGGAAAGATGGTCTCCAACCTGCTCATGCAGAGCAAGTATTATTAATACCAGTCGGTGGGTTTGCATTTCTGTTCAGAACAACAGGAAAACATGTCTTAGACACTTCAACTTTTCAAAATGTTCTCAGTTGCATAGCTCCAGATCCCCCAGGGAGGTGATCCATCTGCTGTCACAATGGGTAGTTACACTCTCCGAAGTCTCACTCTTTGGCAACAAATCAACTTGGGGGTTTGAAAAATGCTTCCATTCATTATTAAAACATAAAATTACATGAATATTTTAAGAAACATTACAAGTCCATGTGCATGTTCTTAAAGAAAAGAACTCAGAGACTAACAGGTGAGAACTATGGACTTAAAATTATAGAAATAGAAAGCAGTGTTTCCGCCATAACACGCCATTGCGGGAATCCTGCGCTGCAATCAGAGATGGCCCCCAGAAAAACGAGAAAAGGGCCAATTTGGCCCTTTTCCTTTTACAAGACTTCAGGCTTAATACAGGCATAGTATTTTAAAAGCCATCCGATGCAAGGTTCGAAATTGTGACCAATATGGTCACCAATACAACTAACATTTCATCTTTGACGACCAAAACTTCTGGTTTAGTCGCCATAATGACAACTACATTTCTCTGTGTTGACAATCAGTAACGGCTATTTTGTCACACATTATGTCCTTCTAGAAAATCACATCGAAAGATCTTTGCTTCTAAAACATTCAACATAAGAAGAGAAGTCAGTCTGTCCTTTTGCTTTGCTGTAGTATTGATTCTCGGAAAACTTACAATACAAACGGCTGACCGTGTATGAAATCGCCCTATAATGCATTGCAAACCCTTGATCATTGACTAAGTCATGTATGCCTAAGAATTTTTCTCTTGTAATGCACGGATCCTTCAAACTAGTAACTGATTCAAAAGAAACTTTATTGAGTAGAAACACTTCAAAAAGCACTTATTGAATTTTATCATAGATCCTAATAAACTGCTTTATTTTCCCTTGTACCCTGATGCATTTTTTCCTTCTGTAGCTTTCAATTTATTGGCCCCTTTCCTAAAAAAATGGTCCCTAACAACGGTCTTCAGGGGCCACTTTGGCCCTCAAGTAAAATTTCCTGGCTGAAACACTGAGAAAGTTTACATTCAGAATTTCTGAGACTGTCAGGCAAAATATTGCATGACACAGAATAAATTGAGAACTTAAATAATCTAGAGACCAAAACTGCTTAACCAACAGTCTGTTGAACATTAAGTTTGTGATGAAAGCAAATGTTTTTTAACAGACATTCAACATTTACTTCATGAAAATTAAATCAGTCAACAGATGGCAAAAATTCCTGACGCCATTTACCTGGTGGATCAAAAATACGTCGACTGCGGACCTCTTCCACATTGTTGGCAACATAGAAATGGTAACTACCAGTCAAGACTGCTACTCCTGTCCTTCCAGCAAAGTTGTAGATTTTGCAGTCAATAACTTTTGATTCCTTGGCATCCTACAAAGTATTTAATGGTAGAGTACATAGGATTGCCATAAAATAACAGGAACAAACAAAAAATAATTCAAGATAGTGGGGGTGCAAGACAGTCGGTAGTAAATCACTGACTAATGATTTTGCACTGGGAAAAAAATAATAACTGCACTGAAAAAGATTTGCAATAAAAGAGTCTGTGAACTAAATTTATGTTTCATTATGACAATCATTTGTTGCCCTTGATGTTTCTCAGTTTTTTTGTAACAAAAAGTCAAGTACACAGTTATAGCATGAGAACAGCACTGTCACATAAATCTTAATCCTCTGTCAAGGACCTAAAATTTGGAATTCTCTACCAGCACCTATAACTAGTTCAACAAGCTTCTCCAGCTTTAAGAAAAAGTTGATTACATTTTCAAGGCAAATATGGTGAATTGGCCATGCCGTGCATGCGGAATGCATTACAATATATACTTAACAACTGAAGTGGCCTCTGCTATCACGGGCGTCCCAAACTCACAATTCGAGGTGCGTGGTGTTGTGTTACACATTTTCAAGAATGGAATAAATAAATAAAATGACATGAAAATGAAAATGTTACACATTGGGCCGTTGAGAATTTGAGCGCTCTACAAGGCGTTGTATGGAATTTAAAATAATGAAGCATAAAATTGAGCAATGAAATCAAATGTTACTTTTTTTGAATAAAATTAAGAAAATATACTCACCTTGCCTGGTTTCTGTTGTCCATTTGGCCTATTTCATTGTTTTTGGGGGGTTTTCAGGTGTTTGTCGTAGATCTCTATGGACAAAGTCAAGGCTGGACACTGCTGTTTCGAAAGACCTGGGCTGGGAGGCCGTTTTCTCACCGAAATTCGAATCCGCTACTCAATTTTTCACTCCGATGCAAAGAAGGATTGTTCCATTGGTCCCCTTTTCTGCTCAGCTTGGAAAAATCTTCAAACTTTCTGCTCAAATTCAATTTTTGCTTCACTATTGGAGCTTTCAACTTTCCGCTGCAGTTTGTGACTGTCCTCCAGACTACAGTACAGCTTGAAATCAACATTAGTGACTGCTCCGGCGTCAACATGCTCCTGTGGGGTCGTGGGGAGAGGGTCATATTTTTCAACGGAAATTTTTGACTGTGCACCCGTCTGGTAAGTTGCATTTTATGCAAAAAAGGTAACATTTGATTTCATTGCGCAATTTTATCGTCCGTTATTTTAAATTCCATACAATGCCTTGTAGAGCGCTCAAATTCTCGACGGCCCAATGTGCAACACAACACCGCGCACTAACGGCAGTCACGTCTCACTCGATATGTGTACATAAATCATTAATATTTGATTGATTCCTTGAATCGTGAGTTTGGGACGCCTGTGCTGCTATAAGCCTAGTGGGTTTCTTTGGAGGTCTCCTTGATGCCTTTTGTTATTGTTATTATTTTTTATTATTATTTAACCTCAGGCAAATAACAGAAGATGAAGATAATGATAATGATAATAAACGGTACCGAATTGAAACAGTGAAGAGAAATGTCTGAATTATTACTAAAGCATCTCACTAACCTGACCCATGGTTAACGTTTTCTTGATTGCTCCATGAATATCATAAACAAAAACGCTTCCATCATCAGCTACACACAGAAGATCCTCTGAAACAGACCAACCCATCTGAACAATAGCACCTCCATCCCACTGAAAATAAGTGAAAATAGTGATCTTCAAAGCAAGAACACAGAATTGCATACATGATACATGTACTCTACATTAACTTACTTGGGCCTCTTCACAACATGTGGCGCATAGGGCCCCTGCCTGCACATTTAGCTATGCATTAAATTTAAACACACGATCAAAATTATAAAAAGTAATCTGAACAGAAATAAAATCAGAACACTTTTAAAATAAATAAATAACCATCTTAATTGGCTACTCCACCGTTGGGGTCTTTCAGGGCCAGCAGAAACAAATGATGAAACAAATACAATGTAAATGAAGATAATGTGGTTAGTAATTCCAACTGGCAGAAGGCAGACCAGTTGGCTAATTACAAGCGTCACTGAGGAGTTGAACTCGGGACTACTGAGAACAACACCAGCTGGTGGTCAGAACGGGACTTGAACCTGCAACTTCTGCATTTCAAGTCCAATACCCTAATAATGCGACCACGCTGCCTTCACTCCACAACAATCCACAACGCAACACTTCGTCGTCATTACTATTGTTGTCCCTTAACATTCAAAGTCACATATATAATGCTCCCAGAATGTAGGAAAAATAATTTACATGGGCAAGAACAGTGGAAAGGGAGCTTAAGGGGAAAACGACTAAGAACCAGTGGACAGAAGTAGCATCAGCTGCAGAGGATGGGATAGCCTGGGGGCAGAGACCCTACAGTCTAATTCTCTACTTGAAGAAGAACAAACAAATGATGTTGATGACTATAATACCCCTTGCTGTAAGGTGTTAGTAAATTGTAAGCAAGGTTAGTATTGTAAGTTGTTTTAGTATTATAAGTAGAGTACATATCACAAGCGATGTTAGAGTCTTGTAAGCTATTTGCTGTTACAAGCAATGTAGTTACATGTATGGTACTTTTGTAGGTAATATTTGTATATTAAGTAGCATTATTGTTGCAAGCATTTTAAGGTAGTGTTGTAAATTATGTGTGTTGTAATAAAAAACTTCCTTTTTGAAGAAAAAGAAATATATATATACCCCTTGCTCATGTGGCCTAAGTTGTCACATCAACTGCTGAATCTACCTGGGATAGCTGCCAAAGCTTACCTTGACAGTAGCAAGTTCCTTTCCAGCAGAGGAGAAAATATGAATGATCGGTTTGTTGATGGACGATCCTTGGACACGTGCAAAATGTTTGTCATCTCGTATGAGAGCTGCAAGTTATTACAAGCTCATTACATGGCTGCTCTACATGTATATTAGTAAATCCTCTTTTTAACTTACACGCAAGTGTGGTGGGAAAGAAATGTCAAAAACTTAAATATAACATTTCAATAACAGCTAAAAAATGTAGGCCACAAATCTACATTTCACAGAGTGATCTTTGCTAAACCTTTTTCTTTTCAATTCCTTAGTAAAATGAACCAACTTACTTTTCTGACAGCAAAAGACACTAGATATCTAAACAAAGACCTTTACTTTGATGAAAGGGCTATCAAATAAACTGTCATCTTCACTGACTTACCAATGGTGGTTCATTTACCTTTATTGAGTTCAAGTTGATAAATAGCTTACTAGAAAGTCATGTACTTTCATGGTTGCCACACCTATCACTATCAAAATTCCCTGACTTTTCCCTGACTTTTCAATGATAAAAATAAGATTTTCATGACCAAGTAAATACAAAATGTCAGATCTTCTAGCCATAGTTTAGGGGCAAATTATTGTCTAGACATTGCTTTTAAGTCTACAGACAAGTATGCTTATTTTACTATAAGGCAAGAAATAACAATCACATTTTCACTTACCAATAGGACCCCCAAAAGATGCCGCACTTACTATAAACTTGGAGAGATCCACAGCTTCTTGCCAGGCCATGCTGTATAACTCTATCTTCCTATATACATGTATTGAGGAGATACAGAGACTGTTACATGCAGATTTATTTAACAATTATTCCACAAGCGTGTGTTGGAAATGATATGCTAGTTAGCCAATGAGACGTACATGTATAGCACTGAGTTAGCTATAATCACCTCATATCCGACAAGTGCGAGTGGAGTAACTGTTTTATTAACAACTAAAATAAACGAAAAATAAAAACGCCCTAAAAACCATACCACAAAGTCTAAGCCATTGGAAACTATTGAATTGCATTACCCTATGATGCAATTTTTAATATTGACAAACAGATGGTGAGTTTGAGGTATTGATTAATCAAAAGATTGATTGAATGAAAAACTTGTCGACAAAAGGAATTCCTCTTGTTTATTTTCAACAATTCACTGACTGGATTGGTCACTCAGTCAGCTGGTTAGCTGGTTGTTCAGTTAGTTGGTTAATAGGTGAACAATAAATTAGCAATTCAATTCCTGTTGTATATTTTAACAATTCACTAATTGACTAGTTGGTTGGTCCATTAATCAACTGATTCATTGATTGCTTCATTAAGAATGTATTAATTAGTTGGTTGGTTGGTTGGTTCATTGAAAAATTGACTGACTGACTGACTGACAGACAGACAGACAGACAACCTGACTGATAGACTGAATGACTGATTGATTGATTGCAATTGATTGATTGCCTGACTGACTGACAGTTTGACTGACTGATTGACGAACTGACTAACTGACTGACTGACCTAATGAAAGAATGATTATACTGCAGTTGATTGACTGACTGACTGACTGACTGACATGTTGACTGACTGATTGACTAATTCGTTCATTGTTTCATTAACTGACTAATAGACTGACTGATTGGTTGATTGGTTGATTGAAAATGACGAACAGGTTGCCAGTCTCGAGCTCTTAGCTTCTCAACCAGGAAATCAAATAACACTTATTTGTGCTCACGCATCGTTCTACATAGTTGTAGTACATGTAAACAATTTGGACCAAAGTTACTTTTTTATCGTCCCATAGTCACAAGCTTATTTGCCATAACTGCATATAAACAACGTTTTAGAGCAAGAATTAAGCTTAAGCTTATAAGCTTACTCTAGGCCATCGTTGGGTACGACCATATATATGAAATGAACTTGCCTGTAGAAGACCTTCCCCAGGGGGTTCCAGTCAACCGTTACGTGAGCCATCTCAGAACGAAACGTCTTGATTTAGAAATAACGCTATTTAAAAGTGTTTACATGGTGCTATAGATCAGTCAGCGTAATATATCCCTGTCCGAGTCGCAGCCGCCATTTTGGTATTTGCGAGGCTGCAATCCTAATAATCAGTGGTCACTTTTCATAATGGAATATCCCATATGTCTTTTCAAGGGAGATAATTCAATATGGCGGTTCCTAAAGCGAAAGGTGCCTATCGTCCCAGGTGCTTTTTTGATGTGGAAATAAATGGCTCTCCAGGTAAGATAACTACTAGATTTTGGTTACAAAATAATCTTGACTTCTTTTTCGATAAATCTGTTTTATTTAAAAGCAGAGAATATCGGTTGAAGCCTTGAGATTTGGCTAGGATTCCTCCGCGTCAGATTAAGTTTTCATGTGCTGTCAAGCAAAGAACATGCAGCTGCTTAGAAGAATTTTACAATTATCGTATACTTACACAAAAAAGAGTCTTATTTTTGATAAGCAAGCTGCACCTCGTCTGCGTATTTTACATTAACTTCTCCCTCTATCGACCTACCATGGTATTCTCTGCCAGCTTCGCAATCTGATTTCATCAGATTTCGTAGTTTCTCAAACATTATTTACTTGTTACGAATAGCTTGCCAAAGATAAAAAGATTTAGTGTGAAAGTTAACGATACCTATGTGACTTGTCTAAATAGTTGTATGTAGATGTCCAACTATCTAGTTAAGCTATAAGTAAAACAAAAGAAGCATTAAGCAATTCCAGCTGATTATGCCTAACCTGGCAACATCTTACCAAGAGGAACATTAGGGGCTTCTGAGCACCGCAACATCGCAAAACAAAATCACCAAATACTGCAACACTTTAATACCAAGTTGAAACTCAATGTCATACCAAAAAGGCTACTCTGTATGTCAAGTTTAGAGCATTAATAACATGGAAATAACAATAATTTTATTAGGAAATTGTTCATTGTAATTTTTGATTTAGACAAAATAAACAAAATAAGTAACATCCATTGGCATGTTGGCTAATAATTAACAAAAAATAACTTACCCTTTTCTGATTGGAAACTGGAAATGCTTGGAAAACGTTGGAGGATAATTTTAATACCATCCAAAATGCTAAAAAAAAGCATCCCACAGGTTCGGAGAATACTGTAATACCACAATTTGAGATTAAAATTACCGAAATGCCGCAACAAAAATTGTCCAGTACCAAAGTGCCCCAATGTCCCCCTCCTTACCTTTCCTGTTCTAGCCATTTGGTTAACCTTAGCAGACTTATCCTTTTCTGGATATCTTCTCTCTGTATTCCCATGTTGCACTTTGCAAGGTTATTAAGTTTGGTTGATAATCATCTGAAAATAAAATGTTTTGGAGACAGAATTGCATGTACAAGAATGCATTTACGTTATACATTCTATTGTGCTGCTCCCCAACTGAACACCTAGAACAGGCTACTAGAATGACGAAAAGCAAAAACAAAAGAAATTTTGGATTATTCAATAAGATGATGGCAATAATGCCGATGACCAATAGACCGAAATGTTCCATGCTTGCCTAATCTTCTTTAGGTTTCTGAAGCATTTACCATTAGGAGTATTTCTTTCTTAGAGGGGATGCCAGTCCATCTCATTCTTACCTCAACCCTATTAAAATTTGATAGGGTTTGGGTAAGAATGAGATGGACTGGAAGGGAAGAAGGGTGTCTGGAAAACTCAGACCTGGAAAACTCAGACCTCAGACCTGAAAAACTCGAACCCCTTGGGTGTCTCAAAAGCTCCAGGGTTGCCACGGTTAGGGAAAAGGCAGGGAAAATTAGATTTTATTCAAGGTCAGGGAAAAGTCAAGGAAAAGTCAGGGAGTTTTGTATCAGGTCAGGGAGTTTCTAAATCCCTGTTCAAAGTCAGTGAAAAGTCAGGGAATTTTATCTCAAGGTTGCTGCAAATTATTTTATTAGATGTTTTTGTATAGATAAGGCAATTTTGTTTTAAAAATTATCTGAGCTATCCTTATTTTTGTTGATCCATGGTCAGAATAGTCATCCTGCAGGGTCAGTGAAATTGCTTTACAGTCAGAGAAAAGTCAGGGATTTTTTTTTTTGTTCTGGTGTGTGGCAACCCTGAACACAGACTCTGAGTGTCTGAGTTTTCGAGACACCCATTATCAGAACCCATTTATACAGCTGAGTGGAGAGATGCTCTGTAAACATTAAGTATCTTGCCCAAGAACACAATGAAAAGTTCTTGGCCTGGACCTCAGCCTAGAACACTTGATCCAGCCTCTAGTCCAATAACAGCTTAGCCACTGTGTAGATCAATGATGCTTTATAATGTACACCAATAGATATTTTTAAGTGTTTTAACATTTGTTCTTTCCTCAGTTGGCAGGGTCATTTTTGAGCTGTTTGCTGACATCTGTCCGAAGACTTGTGACAATTTTAGAGCCCTTTGTACGGGTGAGGAGAAGAGAAGTTTGAATTGAAAGTATTTAAGAGTCCCTGTCCATAAAAATGGAAAATAACTTGGCAAGGGTCGAAAATTCGATTTCGCTCATATTT